ATAGGATATGTGTAACGGAAAGAAATCCATTATTCAAATTTTTCTTTTTCAATTTTAATAAAATGCATATAATAATGAGCACATACATCGAGTATATATAAAATAAAGAAACACGTATTATTTTCTTTGAAATCGCATCCACTGATTAAATAGTTTGAATACATTCTGTAACGCGCAACATTTGCCATGTCTTTCACACCGAAACGTATTGGTAGCGTCTAGATTTTCAAGCGATTCAATCTCGTTGTAATACATATCGATCGTTTCAACTATAACTTCATCATTGTTCAAAATGTCCAGTAACCACCCCCGCTTTTCAAGTCCCTTCACATAAACAATAGCCTCACTCTCTTCAATGACAGCTTCTGAAATCAGACGCTGCGCCGACGATATGATATCATCCCATCATTCCACCGCAATCCGTGATGATGTGTCATCAACCATGAGGCATGCGATTGATCAGCTTTCGTCAGGAAACGTCATGGCATCGGGCACGTAAAAATATAATGTGTCAACTCACTCTCATTCTTTAAAACTGCTACCTCCTTGACAACAAATCGCTTATCCACGACAAACCCTTAAAAAATATACACAACGATTCAAGAAAAAAATAATTAATATATTTGTAAAAAAAACAAGAGATAAGAAATATACCTTGCAAATCAACGAATGTCGACAACATAACGATGATTGTCTGGCTTGACATTGATGTGATGTACTGTACTATTGTAGAAGCCAGACAAATTTGTGACATACTTTCTGACAATGACACTTACAGATTGATTAATAAAGACCCCACTAATAAAATGACCACAGGAATACGATCTCTTTTAACAAGTTAAAAATCAAAGGGCTTTATTGATCAATATACAATATTATAAAAAATTGTATATTTCGGATGGTGATTTACCGAGATCCTATGGGCATCCAAAAATACATAAGGAGGGCATCCTGCTAAGAATGATTGTCAGCTGCATCAATAGTCCTTTTTACAATTTAGCTGTTTTCTTGAAAGAAATCATTAACAAAAGTTTTAATAACAAAGAAAATTTCGGTTACATTAAAAACAGCTATGAGTTAGTTAAAAAAATTAATGGTCTACCTTTGTCTGATAAATATCGAATGGTTTCGTTTGACATCTCGTCTATGTACTCCAACATTCCGAACGAATTAGCTTTAAGGAGTGTTTTAAGCAGATGGAACTTGATTGAGAAGAATACTTCTATCCCCTTTCAAGAATGTAAAAGAGCCATTTCCATCATATTAAATTCCACCTTTTTCAAGTTTAATGACGAATTTTACGAATAGATTTTTGGTTTGCTCATGGGATCGCCTCTATCACGAATTTTGGCTGACTTGATTCAGGACTTGGAACATAATATTTTCAATACTCTCACCACGCACATACCTTTTTATTATCGTTATATTGATGATATCGTGCTTGCAGCTCCTACTAATCTTATTACTAATATCTTGGATTCCTTCAATTCGTACCACGAGCGCATAAAATTTACTATCGATTATGGCGATGAAATAGGTATCAATTTTTTAGATATAAAACTTCTAAACGATAATGGTAGTATTATTTTCGACGTGTAAAAAGCCTACTAACTCTGGGAGATTTCTCAATTTCTTCTCCAATCACCCTACCATACACAATAAAGGCGTTTGATTGGGTTATTGAACAAGATTCTATTTCTTTCCCATCCAAAATTCCATCACACTAACATCAATTCCTTAAGTAACTCTCTCCTCCGCAACGGGTATCCTTTACAATTTTTATTTAAAACGATAAACAATAGAATAAAAATGTTATCTAGAAAAAAGAATTTCGATACCATTAATGAACATAATCTTAACTCTAACATGAACACTTCTACTGAAAAGAAAAAATATTTCACTATTCCGTATTTAAAGAGGACGTCTGAGAAATTCAACATAGCTCTTAATAAATTTCAATTCGAATTGGTATACAAACCGATGAACAACTTGAACAGGTTTATAAAAACGGGGAAAGATAAAATAAAAAAAGATGAACTTTCGAACGTGGTATACCAAATTAATTGCAAGGACTGTGATTATTCGTATGTTGGTCAGACGAAAAGGAAATTAAAGACGCGGTTAAAAGAATATATAAATGATTCTAAAAAACCAGTTAATTCTCTCTCAGTCATCTCAAATAACAGAATTGACACAGATCACGCGATAGACTGGGTGAATACTAAAATATTAGATTCTGGACGCTCGCATTATAAAAGATTGGTACCTGAAATGATTTATATTATGACACAAAAAAATGGTTTAAATAAACAAAGTGATACGGAGCGGTTTCCAGATCTTTATCTCCCTCTCCTTGAATAATAGTTCCAGCCCCACTCTAAAATCTTCCACTTCCTTTCCCTTTTCTTACCCTTCCTTTTTTCCTTTTTCCTAATATAAATAGACCAGCAATTTTGGCTTTTGTCATTACGATAGTTAAAATTCACTCTTTACCATAAATCATCACAGTGTTCAGTTATACAGAGGAGTCCCCGCACCACAGAATACACGTAAGTTCATTTAATTGGTTTTTCAAAAGGATAATGAATTTTTTAAAATATCTCTCGGCGTTGAATCTAAACAGTAGCATATTACTTAATTTGTGTTTTTTATAAAAATACGACAATAACTAACTCACTTATTGAATAAAAAAATTTTTGTTTTTACAATAGAACTCGGTACTTGCGTGTCTCTTCGTTGTGGGGCTCGTCGTTTTTTAAATGAAGAATTAATTATATTATTGAAGAAAAAGAAACAACTTTTGTAATTAAATTCTTTCTATCCATATAGCGCGACAATTAACTGTTATCTTAATCTACTTGGATTGATTGCGATTAATTCCGTATAATAAGGAAATAATAAATTTTATACTAGCTATCGCTACATTTATCAGTCGAATTGTGTATTTAGTTTTAATTTTTAACGTATTCTATTTTATTGTACTGAAGAGGGTCAAATCTTGACCAAAACTTATTGTCTACTTATTGTTATGAATTGTTTTTAAATAATATATAACTTATTTACATCCTTAGTTGTGACTGTATGCTCTTTATTATTTAACCTTTGTAAATTTCTTAGCCACTTTCTAATAATTTGAAATTGATTAAAACGATAGATTCTTATTTGATATTTTTTCTATTAAACTAACAATTAAAAAAAATACGACAGTAAAAGTGTGTGGTGACCGGTGGTACAATCAAACAAAATAAGGTGCCATCGCGAAAAAAATACGCGGCATAAGTGCGAGTGAGAGCGGATCCGTCGTGAGAGATCAAATCTTCTAATAAGCATCCATCAATGCGAGCGAACGGCGTCGGTGAGAGCGGCGTCGGTGCAAACGGGCGTTGGTGCGAATGCGAGCGAGAGCGAGCGAACGGAATCTGTGCGAGCGAACGGCATCGGTGCGAGCAAAAGCGAGTGCGAGTGAGACAGCGCGTGCGACACGCGGGAAAAAAAACGCCCTCAGTCACTCGTCTGCTCTCGAGCAGTATTGCTGTTACGTCGCGTCACGTCGGTCAAACACACACATGCGCGTAGGGACGGGGGCCGGAAAAGAAAACTACAAGAGGTGGTGGGAGGAAAAAGCAACTCGCTCATTGACTGCCCCCCTCCTCTCGCACTACAATACCCCTCTCGCACAGTTTTCCATTCGGCAACTCTCCCCGCGGGCTACCCCATGGGTTCATATATACATAGGTTTAATACTGTAAATAAAATGAGGACATCGAGTTGTCATAACTTTAGTAACACACCCGTAATAAGGGTGCGTCAGCAAAATGAGGACATCGAATTGTACTCACATTAGTGACGCACCCGTAATAAGGGTGCGTCACCGAAATAAGAAGATCGAGTTGTCCTCACTTTAGTAACGAACCCGTATAACGGGTGTGTCAGCAAAATGAGGACATCAAGTTGTTTTCACTTTAATAACGTACCCTCGTTGCGGACGCGTCAGCAAAATGAGGACATCGAATTGTTTTCACTTTAGTGACGCACCCATAATAAGGGTGCCTCAGCAAAATGAGGACATCGAGTAGTCCTCAATTTAGTGACGCACCTGTAACAAGGATGCGTCAGCAAAATGAGGACATCGAATTAGCTTCACTTTAGTGACGCACCCTTATTACGGGTGCGTCAGCAAAATGAATATATCGGGCTCTCCTCAAATTTGGGACACACCTCCATTGACGGGTGAGTACGAAAAATGAGGTCATCGGGCTGTCCTCAATTTTGGGAAATCTCCCTTTGATGGGTGCATCCAAAAAATGAGGCCATCGGGCTGTCCTCAATTTTGGCACGCCACCCTCGTTGTCGGGATCGTCCAAAAATGAGGCCATCGGGCTGTCCTCAATTTTGGGACATCCCCAAATGGGTTTGATGGGTGCGTCAAAGTAAGTGTACAGGAATGTGTACTTAGGTGTAGATGTAAGAAAGATGTTTATAGAAAATTTAAAGTTCTTTTGCAAAGTTTAATAGATTTTATAAATAATGTTATTAAAAGTGTGAGATTGAATTTAATGTGATTAAAGATATATTAAGGTGTTTAATTTTTATTATTAAAATAAAATAATTAATATAAATTGTATGGAAAGTAATGTAAGTGAATTTGATTAAATGTAGAAAAGTAATGTTAGTTTAGTTCCTTTTTTTGTTCCTTTTGTATCAGGGTTTATTAAAATATATTCTATTAATTATTGGATTTCTCGAATTTAAAAGAGCTAATAAATATTTTAATAGTATTATGTTAGTTAATATGGAATAATTATTAATAATAGTTTATTAGAGGAGATATTCTAGTCAATTTTAAAGATATCTTTTTTTTAATTTAAATTTAATTTATCCATAAAAATTTAGTAATGTATTTATTTATTATAAAAATGTTATTATTTAGGGAGATAGGTTGCGGGATAAACTGTTATCTAGATTAAAATATATAATAAGATTTTAAGAGGTTTGATAAAAATAGTGCTAATAATATGTTTTATAAAAAAAATTTAATAATTTATTATCTGTTTGTGATTAATTAATATGTTGTTAGAAGAAAGTAGATTTTGGATTAATTTAATAGAATAGAAATTTAATTAATTAAGAAAAAATTATTAATAACTAATGAAAATAAATGATAATGATAAATTAAGTTTAATGGTGGAATTTATAAGAATTATAAGATTGTGTGATATTATTGTAATTTTGGGAATTCGGCAAATAGTTAGGTTCAACTGTTTAATAAAAACATAGTTTTTTGATTATAATAAAAGATGTTTACTGCTTAATGATTGGAAAATTAAATAGCTGCAGTATTTTGACTGTACAAAGGTAGCATAATAAATTGTTTTTTAATTGTAAACTGGTATGAATGTAAGAATAAAATTTAAGCTGTCTTAAATTAAAATATTGAATTTAGTAGTTAAATAAAAATTTTTAAATGATACTATGGGACGAGAAGACCCTATAGAATTTTATATGTGAATTTATTGTTTTAATATAATTTTTAGTTGAGATAAGTTTATATATTTAGTTGGGAGGATTATTAAATTTAATAAACTTTAATTTAAATAGAAAAATATTGGTTAGTAGTATTTAATAAAGAAGAAGGATTATTATATAATTAAAAAAGAATTAATTACCTTAGAGATAATAGCGTAATAATTTTAGAGAGATCATATTGATAAAATTGATTGCGACCTCGATGTTGAATTAAATGTAGAAATTTAATATTTAAGTTCGACTTTTAGAATCTTACATGATTTGAGTTTAGATCGGTGTGAGCCAGATCGGTTTCTATCTATAGTTAATTTATAAATATTTGTACGAAAGGACTATATTTGTGGATTTTAAAATTTTATAAAAAGAGTAAAAAATTAAGTTAATTTTAGTTACTTTGGCAGATTAGTGCATTAAATTTAGAATTTAATAAAATATAAGATATAAAAGAGAGATTATATATATAATAAATTAACTCACGCGATTCACGACCACTGCTGTTATTCGCGCTATCAAAGACAGCATCGTCATTAAATTAATCGGAATTATTAATTAATTATGAACAATATGATTGGAAACAAGACCGTCTATATAAATATTAAAACTTTAAATACAAAGCGCCTTCCCGGTCCGAGTGTTAAGATGTTGAACTACTATCTAATATACCACACTTCGCAATAAGTTTATTACAGTTTTTTAAGATTTGGGAGAATTTGGGGGGATTATTTGTTTCAGATTGATTGTGTGAATCCGATAATTTCATCGGCTCTCAATTTATTTCTGAAATATTAATTCAATTTAATTGAATGTATATTAGTAGTTCAACATCTTAACACTCGGACCGGGAAGGCGCTTTGTATTTAAAGTTTTAATAATTAATTATGGTCCTCAGCTACTGAGATATTTGTTATAGTTCTGTAACATAGTTTTGATTTAAATTTACACATAATAAATGTAAAGAAAAATGTATTGCATTAAGATACATTTGTATACTAAGTTTATACATACGTACTCGCTTTCAAGTTGTACATCGCTAAGAAACTGCATCCGTTCATAGTGCACCCAGCTATTTTTTTGCGTGATATCCTTGCTGAGCCACTTGATGCTGTTTATTTTTATAGTGAAAGTATCGCTTAACAATTTCCATTTTTTTAATAGTTGTAACGTCTATTTTACATAGAAAAGAAAAAAATATTATATATAATATGAACAAATTTTAATCTAAAATCATGACTATTTATAAATGCTACCATCCATTAATGCAGATATTTTTTCCCATAGCATTTTTTTTATTTGTAGGCTTTGTTGAACAAAGGAAGCTTAAAATTTCATAATGGAGGACGTTTGCGAACTTCTTTGATTAAATGTTCCTCGTCCACAATTTTTTGATTTTGCCAATTAATTGCAACATCAGTGTCTTGGTCACTTTCCATAGCGATGGTTTCTATATTATCCACCAAACTTTTACGAATAATTTGTCCGTCATCTGCAAATTCATTTACTCAAGAAACACACCAAGTCAACAGAAAGTAAAAATGACTTTTTTTGATCATTCGATCATTTCAAATTAAAATAAAATCTTGAAATACGAAGCGCCTTACCAGTCCGAGTGTTAAGATGTTGAATTACTATATAATATACACTTATTTAAATTGAATTTATTTTCAGAAATAAATTGCAAGCCGATGAAATTATCGGATTCACACAATCAATCTGAAACAAATAATCCCTCCAAAATTTCTCTTCTTTTTAACTTTGTGCTGACTTTTGTGTGTTTTTTAGGCACTAATGTTTAATTTTAGGCACAAAATATGTAATAAAAAATGTGTGTCACTAATACTCACCAGTTTGAGGATAAAAATATAAATTTTTATTTACACATGTTAATGGTTATAATCCTGCATACAAGGATAACAATGCATTTCTGCCTCATCACAAATAGTTTCACACACACCACAAATGTACGACATTACTAAAGCTTCCTACAATATAAGAAATATAAATTAACACAATATAATAAATAAATCTATGTAACATAATGAAATTATTAATAACAATGAGACTCAAAATTCAAAAACAATAGAAATTAAATACGCTACGAGTGTAAGCTAAAATGTAAGTTGCTTTTTAATATAATCAAAATGTAAAATACGAAAGTCACAAATGTTTCTACCCTGCCAAGATATAAATCATATTGATCATAACAATTCATCTTAGCAGGGTAAAAAAAAGGACAATGAGAAAATTATTAATCTTTAACTCTAATACCATTAATTTTGTGAGGATACTTCTTGTTATTTTTATAAAGTTTTTACTTCTATCTTGAAAATGTTTTTATTATAAAAAGAACAAAAAGTACTAATTGACATATAGATTCATAATATTTTAGAATAACAAGATAAATTTATTTTATTTAAATTTAAATGTATTTTTGAAATTATTACGCTAGATATGCAAATTCTAAATTAAGATTTCGTATAAAATATTTTAATTCTAATATATAACCGTATTTATAGTATGTTTAAATATTGTTTACACTGGGGATGACTCGATAAGGATTACTTGTATACAAACGTTTGTGACTTTTGTATTTTACATTTTGATTATATTGGAGAGCAACTTATATCCTAGCTTAAACTCGTAACCTATTTAATTTCTATAATTAAATTAGAAATCAATTTAATCTATAAGTATACTTGTTACTGTATAATATATACTAACTTCGTTTGCATTTTCATCCGCTGTACAAATTTCACCAGTTTCTTCAGACATGGCTATATTTTTTTCAAATATTCTATTAATAATATTTACACTTATTTTACCAGGTCTGTGAATTGTATTTGGTGAACAATGGCGTTGCTTCGCTAATAATTTGACTGAGTCGAACTTTTAAGCGTATTTTCGCTGAAAAGTCCAAATGTCGAAAATCGATGGAGAGAGAATGAAATGCTAGCTTATCAACGTTCTCATGAAAAAGCAGCTTAAATCACTTTGAGAGATTAACATGGGCAACTGCGTTCGCGCAAGCACGCGATGATTGGTAGACTCGTGCTGTAGAGAGAAGGTATTCTATAATTTTGCATTCCACTCTTATTGCCCCATGGACCAAATTTAGAGAGACTATACTGTAATTATCAAATCGTGGTACCAATAAATGGATTTGGCACAGAGAAATTTAAGAGCATCCTTTTTCGCGTGATAGGCGAAAGCACCGACGAGATACTATTAATGACAAACATCTTTGCGGAAGTTCGCGTCCTTGTGAATATTGAAGTGATTAAGAGTTAAAAACTGCCCAGATAACAAAGTTAACATAAGTTTCTCTTCAATTGCCATCGTGTTACTGTCACCAGAAGAATAATAATTTTTTAATTTAGGTCCTAAAGGCATTATGCGGACAATGGTTTGCGCAAATGAGTAGAAATGTAACAAACTCATTTCCATAATGTTGCTACAATTGATTTGTTGGAAATCGTTTTTGCAAAATATTTAGTCCACATTTTTGTCAATTGAATGAAAATGAAGTCAAGCAGTATGTGGTGCCGCCACCAGAGAGATGTATCGAGTTAAATTTTTCGATTTTAAAAAACGACATAGAATAGAATAAAAGATGCAGCATTAAAAGATTTTTCAGCTGTGTTCTAATAAAAAATTTTTTAAAGTGAGCCCCAAGGGAGGCTCTAAGATAAAAGGCATAATACTTTTTTTGAAATGTTTACCGAGTAAATGAAATCTCCTAATACTTTAACATGTATTTTATTCTGCATTGTAATTTATTCATAGTAACTTATGTTACATCTATCAACCAAATGAGTAAAATGTCTAAAATCAACTCATAAATCACTTTAAGATATCTTTAAGAGTTCTTTAAAAAACATCTTTAAGATACTTTATAAAAAACTCTTAAAGATATCTTAAAGATTTCTTTTGAGTCGATTTTAAACAGGAAAGTATTGTTAGAGGTTAACCCTTTTTACAATAGTTTCTTTTATATTGCTAGCAAATTTGTTTTATGTAGAATTAGTTTTCATCATGTTGCCGTGTGATTATCCTAACCTATAAAACTTATAAAAAAGAAAAGGAAAATTATGTTCCTCCGGTTGTGCATAATCGTTTATGATATATATTACCGCCAATATCATAAGCAAAATCGGAAGCTTTGCTCAAAAAAGATGGCAAGCGACGCAATTTGTATCAAATTTATAGCAACATGCGGAAAACTTGCTATCTGGATAATAATATTGTATTAATTTTATGATTTATTAATTTATTCAGACGTATTTATTCATTTATAACTCAATAATACTCGTTTTTTTTTAAATTGTGAGGTTAGTGTTATCGTCAAAATTTGATTATTAACAAAGATGATAACTGCAAAGAAAAAATTGTAATTTTTCTGCAATGTATAGGATATTATAGCTTTACAAGTATGCATATTTATTTATGGAACATTTATGTAATACAAAATTATAAATTTGATAATGTATAAGCCAAATATTTATGTTAATAATACCAAATTTATATTAATTGTCGGTAATGTCAGCGTTCTTCAATTTTTTTTACCAGGCCTTTGAGGCTATTTTTATATCGTCGAAAATTTGCCCTGGATTGATGGTCTTTAATAATATTTCGTCGGTGGCGAAAGCCACCGTACACTAGCGGCACCAACATTATTTTTATAAAATAATGTGAACTACGTATTACATTTTTTACACTGTCGATAAAATCGTGGTGTCGATAAATGGATTCGGTGCTCCATTCACCCAGATAACAAAATACTTCCACGGTGTTCGTACGGTGAGCGTACGGCGTACTATGCGTACCGATACCGTATCTATCACGTACGTGCGTATCTAAAGCGTACATTCAAGGACTTCGATTCTTTCCCTCGGAAATTTTTACAAATTTAGAAGTGACCACCTTTCTACATTAATGCTCACAGTCCGTGCACGATTAACGATACAACTAAATTTTACAAGTAAATTTGACGAAACAATCTGAATTTTCGGAAGTTTTAAATAATTTTAGTATTTTTATTCCATATCTCCTTGGAAAAAAAACCGTGATAATAGGGTATACGGATCTTGGCGTGCAGTGCGAGAAAACGTAAATATATATTATTTAGCGAGCCTCCAGGAGGCTAACGTGTCATTTCAGATAAGTTTTCTTTTTCTTATATAAGTTGCACTACAAAAAACAATTGCTTTGTGGATTTTTACTACATTTTTCAGTTATTAAAGTCTATAATCTAGAGTAGCTTTTAGTGCGTAGCATACCACCTTTCCATAGTGATATGTTACTCACTAAAGCCACTCTCCGACAAACTCAGCTATTGGTTGGATTTGATCTGGTTTTTTTCTATTGACTCTAGATTTAACTTTAGGTTTAATATATGTTATAAGTTTATGTTTCATATATGTTGTATACATCTCAAAATTTAAAAAAATATTGGATAGAAAATAAAACAAACATTTTGTATGCTTATGCATATTTATATATATTTGTATATAGCAATGTATATATTAACGTATAAATATAAATTAACATTTTCATAAATCAAATAATGATTTTTCGTGAATAAATCATTAATGTTATTTCGTGAGGTTGCATGCCTATTATTGACCTAATATGGTCTAATGAGTTGAATCTCAATCTGGAACATGTTTGACAGCTATTATGAGACATCACAACGACTATCTGTATAGACAATTTTGATGATCACAGAAGACCGACGAAGAATTGAATATTCTCCTAGCCCGACTCTTTGGTTTACAGATTTTTTCGAATGTCTTCATCTTTGCGACATAGCCCAGCCAATAGATGAGTTTATCCGAGAATGGCTTCAGTGCATAGCGTATCACTACTTCGAATGTCTTCATCTTTGTGACATAGCCCATTAATCGCGCACGGATGCTGTGAGCATTTGTAGAAAGGTGGTCATTTCTAAATTTGTAAAAATTTCCGAGGAAAAGAATCAAAGTCCTTGAGTGTACAGTACATTTGATACGCCGCACCGCTAATGTACGCCATAGGTGCATTTTACCAAAATTAATTAATTTTATAATTTTATTGTTAAAATGAGTATTATTATATGATAAAAAAAATTTTTTTTCCTGAATTCAAGAACTAATTTCATAGGGTGGTATTCATAGTCTGATCTTATTTCAAGATTGTCTTAAATAATGTCTTAAGACGCTAATACGGCCCTCTGGTTCGTGACTGCTTACGACTGTACTTAAGACGGTCTTAAATATAGGATCTGACTATGAATATCGGCCATCGTGCTTCGAAGCGATCATCTATCGGTTGCATATCGCCATCCAACATGTTTGACTTCTAAAATCGTATGGAAATCGCTATACTTCGATGATTCACGAACACCTATATAATTATGGATATATGTATAGCTATGATATATAATCTGCGGTCAATATAGTCCTGAGAGAAATATGTGCAATATAACTGAACAGTCATTGTCAATTCAGTTACTGTCTAATATTTAATCTTTATGTTACTTAATCTTAATGTTATAACGACTTTTCAAGTTAGAAAATCATACGTTGTACTTTCACAGTACCAGTTATCATGTATATCGTCTTCGACTAGAGGTCTTCACTGTTCCTCTTCTTCCAATAA